ACCTGACCACTGGGCCCGTGGAGGGCCCCCGAGAGGCCCTACGGTCGGCGGTGGACACGCCTCCCTTTCTGGTAAACCTCCACTTAGTGCTAAGTCGGGCCCGTCCCCCTACAGGGGAATTTTCGACGAAAAATCAAAAACAAATGCCAAAATGGTCACCAAATGTGCAAAAAGTAGTCGCCAAACTATTTTTCTACTATTTTTGAACATCCCCCCTGTAGAGGGGACAGGCCCGGCTGAAACTTCGTGAAAACGGCCCAGGACCGACACCGACTGACCTGGACCAACAAAACTGACGGCCGCGACGCCCTCTCGCGAAACGAACACGGCCAATCCACTAATCGACGCGTCAGGGCAGGAGGTATATCAACCTCCGATACAACGGCGACAGAACTCGGCAGGACCCCCTTGGCTGGAAGAAGAAAAGACTGCGAGGCGGAGATATATCCATATCCACCGCCCGGGAACCGACGTCCTGGTGCCCTAGCGGGCGGTAGATCTGCATAAATTTCGGCCCCGGGAGGCCCGAATATGTCCACATCGACCGCCTGCCGAGGCTCCGAAAACTGACCCTCCAGACGGTGGTCATGTAAAAATTCCCGCCTCGGAAAAACGGCGCAACCCGTCACTTTTGGCGCTCTGCGCGAATTTCGTGGATCTGCGCTGGAGCCCCCTCCCTGGAGCGCGGAGCGCGCCAAGAGCGGCGCCGGAGACGCCGCAAGGGGGGGTTCAGCGCGGATCCACGAAATCCGCGCGGCGTTCAAAGTTTATGTTTAGGCCGTTTGTTCTTCTTCGATTGGCGACGGGCTTGGCTAGGGTCACTCAAGCGTGCAGCCGTGGATGATTTGGATGCAGGATCTCGACGGAGACGAGGACTGTGATCTGCAAGGCCCGCTTCCCCTTGGCGACGGGTACTTTTCACGCTCCGCAGGGTCTGTTAGGGAAACGACCAATGACATAAACATTTAAACTAGGAGGTCCGCGCGGATGTCTCGGATCGGCGCCAGACCCCCATGGCGGCGCCTATGGCGCCGCCCCTGGCGTGCTCCGCGCGCCAGGGAGGGGGATCCAGCGCCGATCCGAGAAATCCGCACGGACCTCCGAGTTTTAATGTTTAGTAAGCAAGGGCCAACCGTCCTGGCATTCCTATAGGCCTACCACGACATGTTCTTGGAACCCGCAACTGTTCTTAAACAAAACCCATGTTCTTAGAACATACACCCGATGTGTTAACAAACAGACAGTCCCAGCCAGAACTGATATAAGAACATTTCGTGCAAACCTCACAACGTTCTTAGAACATCCTTTGGTATGCCTATACTTTGGAGTCCCACAACGGTGCGGTGACAGACCGTGCGGTGCCCTCGAAATGCCCCAAGACCTCACCGCACGGTTCGTCACCGCACGGTCTTGGGACCCAGGAGGCCCCTGTCGCCCGAGACATCCTCGGAGAACGACCCGAGTCCCAAAACCGTGCGGTGACCCCGAATCCCCACCGACTCACCGCACGGTGTGGTCACCACCCCGTTTGGGGGCCCCCGATATGCAATGCGGGCGCTGCCGCGAGAAACCCTCGCAAGAAACCCAACCCTGGAAACCCGCGCGCGAGGTGCACCTGGGGGGACACCCGGAGTACCCTGAACGCAGCAGCTCCCTCCCTGGCCGCGGGAAGCCGCCGCGCGGCGCGCGGAGCGCCGAAACCCAGGCTACCCTGACGAAAAGCACATGGCTTCTTGATGCGCGCCCCCACTCTCTGTGTCACTGCGCCGACCCTGCAGACGTGCTCCAACGGAATTTTGCGTGGATTTCTGTCCGTGGAAGACCTTGCAACGGCGAACGAAAAACGACGTGAGTTTCACGTGGATGCTTCGAAGTCTTCACTCCTGACCCCCCAAAACAAAAATCCGCACGAGATGCACTCCGAAATTCAAAGCTGGAACGACGTTCTTCAGGACACGCCGGGCCCATCCCATCGTTTTCCGAACGGCTTCTTCGTGCGCGCCCCTCCTGCAGGCGAGCCCTGGCCATCCCTCGGACGTCCATTCCCTGTGGTTTTTGCCGGTTTCGTGCGTGGTTTCTTCGCCAAGTGATCAAGGATGCTCCTCGATGGCCCTCGCCGAAGGAAAAATGCACACGTCCGAGCGATGCCAAGAGCCAGGACGCTTCGCCACTGCTCGGGGATCTTCTGACCCGGGTCAATCCAGACCCGGGTCAATCAGGCCTTCACAATCCTGCAAGATCCTGCACCCAAACCCGGGTCAATGCGAAGGATCTTGCAGGATCCTGCAGGATCCTGCACCCAAACCCGGGTCAATGCGACCCTGGCGCTGCAGGATCCTGCAAGATCTGGCGCTCTGGCTGACCCCCGTCTGCACTGACCCCCGTCTCGAGGCTCCCGAACTGCTTGACCATCTGTACCGCCGGCGCCACCTTGGACGCTTGGGGCCCCGGGGCGCCAGCGCGGTCGCGCGGGAGGCGCTCTCTCTGTGGCAGCCCGCGGGCGAGCGGAGCGCTTCGGCTCCGCGGCCGCGCCCGCGGGGCGCGCGGCGGGAGCGCAGCCCCGCTCGGAGGAGCAAAACACAGCATACGGCTGTAATTGATGCGCGATTCCTCCTCCTCCACCTCCTCCTCCACCTCCTCCTCCTCCACTCTCATGTCTTGGGGAGGCCAGCGTGGCGCGCGCCGCGGGGGGGGGAGGAGTGCACAGGGGAAGAAGGCGCCAAGAACAGCGACGAACAGCGAAGTCCACCTCCTCCTCCTCCTCCTCCTCCCTCACCTCCCCTCCTCCTCCTCCTCCTCCTCCTCCTCCTCCTCCTCCATTCCTTTTCCTTATGTCCCTGTCGCACCCCTAGGCCAGTCGGAAGGGCAGGGATGCAATGGCCTTGGACGCCCATGCCGAAGCTTTTCTTTTCGAGCGGGTCTGGCCATCGAAAGTGGTTGAGGATAGGCCGGAGGTGACCGAAGAGGCAATGATGTAAGGGCACACGTGGGAAGGCAAGCATCCTTCCTATCAATGTTGACTGTAAGGTATGAGGAACTTCCGAGCCCCGACAAGGAAATGGGAAAAAGACACCACCACCACCACCACCGGCACCACCACCACCACCAGGGGCCGCCAGTGGGAGAGGCCAGGGGGGTCCTTCTGGTGGTGTGGTTCCCCCCTCTCGCTCTAGGCTTAAATCGGGCATGCCCCTCTACAGGAGGAATATTCAAAAATAGGTGTATCTCTTTTAAAAAATCATGATCCAAAAAAAACATGGGAGCGATGTTTCTATTGTTCCGACTCTTTTTGAACATGTGTTGACTTTTGTTCATTGTTCGTCAAAAATCCGCCTGTAGGAGGATGTGCCCGACCTAACTCTAGACATCCCCTATCCCCAGCTCGGGGAGGCATCGCGGCATCGCGGACCTGCGTGCTGGAGGTGCCCCCCCCTGGTGGATGTGCTGCCGCCTCTCCTCCCCCAACCTCTGGGAATCAAAAGGAGCCCTTAGGAATCTCTAGGAATCCCTCGGAACCCAAAGGAATCCTTCGGAATGCATGAGAATCCCTAGAACCCCTGGGAATCCCTGGGAACCCCTCGGCGATCCCGAAGAGTCCCAGCCAGGGATCCGGGAGGGCTGACTCTCTTCTCACCAGACATTCTCGCTCGGCCTCGGGCACTAGCGCCCTCGCAGATCGGTCCGGCTCGACAAGTGCAGCAGAAAGGATCCGTGCGAGTGTGGGCGTGTGTGAGTGTGGGAGCGTGCGTGTGTGAGTGTGTGAGTGTGTGAGTGCCTGAGTTCGTGAATGTGTGAGTGTGTGAGTGTGTGAGTGTGAGAGTGTGTGAGTGTGCTCGATTTTTGCTCGGGTCTCGGACTCCAGTCGTGAGTTGTGTTCGCGGTGCTGCAACTCTTTCGCAACGTCGGATCTCTCAGGGAAGGTCCTCGCAGATGTCTCGGGTCGGCGCTGGAGGCGCCGCCAAGGGGGTCCAAATCCAAGCGGGTATCCGAGCGTTTGTGCATATACACGTCGGTCGGAAGAAGTAGGTAGAAGCATGAAGTAGGAAGGCGGATATAGTGGATTGGGTCCGGGCCCTCCCAGAGAACAACAAAACACAGCAAGAGCGTGTCGATTCGTGAAGTAGGAAGGCGCTTGAAGTAGATTGGGGATCTGGGAATCCAAAAATACCTACTTTCAACGACCGGCGTGTATGCTGTTTGTTCGTCGTCGCCACCCCCTTAGTCCTCGGCCAGCATATCCAAAAGGTGCTGCCGCAGGAGGGCATCAGAATGCCCACCTGCACCGACCACGGCCGGGTCGCATCCTGTGCCCTGGGCGGGCCTGGCCAGGCTTTTGGCCGGGAGGGCGTGCCGTGGATCGTGCGCACCGATCACTGGCCTGGGGCTGGCGCGGACGTGGATCGGCACCTGGGCATCGCTCGGACGTCCATTCCCTGTGTTTTTTCGGTTTCGTGCGTGGTCTTTTCGCCAAATGATCAAGGACGCTCCTCGATGGTCCTCGCCGAAGAAAAAATGCACACGTCCGAGCGATGACAGGGCACAGGCGTGCAGAGCCGCGCCCTCCAGTGCCGTCTCGCCGTCTGTCCAGCACGCCTAAAGCGGGCAGAAAGCACACGGACGATGCCCAGCAGCAAATGCCCTCCAAGACCGGCAGCGGCCGCTGTTGGGCAAGCGACGGCCGTCTCAGACGAACAGCATCCACGGCGACACGGATGGCGAATCCTGCTCACGCAGGCTAGGTGGCACACGCGTGGCAATTGATGACGCATCATACTTTCATGTCCCGCCCGCCCGACCCGATCCGCCCGTTGGGGTCCACCCGCACGACCCGACCCGCCCGCCCGACCCGCCCCGCCCGTTAAGGTACACGCGTGACAACTCGATGGATGTATCACACTTTAACGTCCCGCCCGCCCGACGCGACCCGCCCGCTAGGGTACTACCGATCCGTCGCCCCCATCAGCTCTGCGACCAACTTCGATACTCGCGATTGTCGCCTCTCACATGCGCAGCTGCCCAGGGACTCCGCCCTGCATCATGCCGTTGCGGATCTGGGACGAGATGTCGCGGACACCATCGGCGGGGCTGTGCGGGATGAACACGGAGTTGGACTTCGAGTTCGCTCCGATTTCCTCGAGGGAGCCCCGCCGCAAGCAGGCGGAGGAAGAGGAGCGGGAAGGGGGCCTCGGGGCACTGCCAGAACTGCCCGCGGCTCGAAGGCTCGAAGGAGGACAGGGGGAAGGAGGACAAGGAGGGAGGAGGAGGGGGAGGAAGGGGAGGAGGGAGGAGGAGACGAAGGGGAAGATAGACTAGGAGGAGACTGGTTTGGGACCGCTTCCCACTCGCCCTGACACCCACCTCCGAGCCTCATCTCACTTGCAAGCGAGAAAAGCATCGCGACAACATTTCCTCAGCGTGACTCAAGCAGTCCACCTGACAAATCTGTCAGCACACCAGCAGCTCCACACGACCAACACGCGCAGCATCACGATGGGTGAATGGATTTGGGATCGTTCCGCGCAATGCTTCCATTACATTGCTCGTCTTAGTCCCTAACAGATAAACATTATCTGCGTGGGAAAGTTTCCCTATGCAGCACAACACCAACGAGACCAACACACCACCAAACCCCACCAACACCAACCTCACCAACATGCGACCTGGCAACCGACACAACATCCAACCCAACACGACAACTAGGATAATGCTTACATCTTTTCGGGCAACGGTAGAAGGTTGGGCGGGGTGAGCATGCGAGAGCCAATTACCGAAAGCCCGTGCGCCTGCAGCCTGATCGCCTACATCACAGCCAGACCAGATCACGAATACCGACATTGTCACAACCGACCTGTTAACCACACACCGCCGGCTGACCGTCACCATGGGCAAGGGATCGGGCTGGGGAATCAGAAGGAGAGGATCTGGGAGGACCGGGAAGGCATGCCAGCCATCTCCCTTCTGCCCCACTCGATGCCAACAAAGGGCTACCAAATAAAGCAAACCCATACTCGATGTACCGTCGGAACTTGACCCTTCCCTCGACTTACCCATCGTCCCCATCCCCTACAGGCGGATGTTGGACGAGGGATAAAAGATAGTCCAAACATGCTCATACATGCCAAACAAAACCGAGGGACACGCCCGACTCAAACCTTACCCCACGACTTGCGGGCACTCGCCCCAGCTGCCTCACCGCACCTGCCCGACTGCGCCGTCCAGGCGCCCAGGGCGTTCCCCGCGCCGGCACCAGCCCTCGACGTCGCCCTCCCCCCAAACTCCCACACGCCTCGTTCCCAGTGCCGAGGCGATACTGCCACGCAACACCTGCGCATCGCCAGTACTGGGGATCTGGCTGGCCAACGTAAGTGTCACAAGAAGCCGCCGACGGATCATGCACGACTTTCAGCATCACCGCCCTTGTGCATGAGCTGCCGCCCGCACAGTGGTTCGTCATCTCCACTCCTGGTGAGGTTACTCTACGTGTCAATGTTATCGAGGTGCTGTCATCATGGTCTCCCTCATTCCGAATTGCATCCATGACCTGCAGCCTGCATATTGTTCGCCCTAGCAGGCTAATCGTATTGTTGGTTTCTCTCTATCTCTCTATCTATTTCTCTTTGTTTGTTCTCTCTCTCTCTCTCTTTATGCGCCTGTCTTCTGACCGCTGCGTGCTAAGGTTCTTTGAATCACTTCGACTAAATAGGTTGGCATAGCTGCCGCCCCGACGCAACAGTTGTACAGCTCATGCCCGTACAAAGGGGGAGCCCTCTCCCCTCGAGCGAGAACGGTGGAAGAGGGGAGCAAGGACTGGACTGGCGGGCGTGTAACGAGGCTTCCACACAAAATGAACTCAGCCTGTGATGTGCTGATATCGCGACCACGGCTATGGATCGCACTCGTGTGCCCAGCATCTATGCCTCGTGCCCGCTGCTCCGCGGCTGCAATACTCCGCCACCGAAGGATTGCAAAAAAAAAAACAAAAAAAAAAAAGAAAAGCTCACAGCCGTGCTGCTGCTGCAGCCAGGCTTGCAGCTTCGTAGATCCCGCGACCACCAACTTCCCGGGCGCCTCCGGGCGCTCCTGGGGCGCTCTTGGGGTGCTCCGCATGGGCCTCCAGGACGGCTGCAACGCCCCAGAACGACCCGGAGGACTTCGCGGAGCCCCCCACCGAGCGCCCAAGACGGTCAAGGAGCGCATCTGGACGGCCCAAGCAGCTCTACGACGCTCCAAGAGGCCCCCTAAGAGGGCCCCAAAGCATCGCCCCGTTCCCTGAGGAAGACGTATATTTTTCTGGCGTTCACAACGTTCGTCCAAGACGGCCCCACCCCAAGATCGTCCCAAGACGGCCCAAGAGGCCCCCAAGAGGGCTCAAAGACCGCCCAAAAGGGCCGCTAGACGGCACAAGAGAAGCCCCCAAGACGGCCCCAGGATGGCCCCAAGAGGAGGCTCTCAGGGGGAACCCGAACGGACATTTCGAGCCCTCGGCCCCGAGACGCCCCCAAGAGGCCTCAAGAGGGCTCCAAGAGGCTCGCAAGAGGCACAACAACTGCTTCCCAATGTGCCCCGAGAGCGATCCGAAGAGACCCCAAGAAGCATCCCTGAGGACTCAGACCCACAACCAGGTACGGTGGCGGGATGGGCCGAAGGATATAATCCGCCAGCCCCCTTGTGGGGCCACTAGGCTGGAGGCCGAAGTTGCTGTTCCCTGCGCCAGTTGCAGTTGTAAGTCTCCAGTGTTACAGACCTGCTTTCTGTTTCCTCCTGTAAATTGTCTAAGTCCGCGCGAGGTGGGGGAGCCCCAAACCGCCCGGTTACCACGCCCGAATAACATCCTCGGAATGTTTGGGGGGCCATGGGACACGTAAATATACTTGAGATTCGCGCCCCCGAAGCCATACTCCATGTGAATTACGCGATCGTCGCGTCCCCGAGGCCATTCACCCTCACTAGTTAAGCAATTCTTGCGTCCCCGAAGCAACAACTCCTGCTAAATTACGCAATCGTCGCGTCCCCGAGGTTATACACCCTCGCAAATTACGCCGTACTCGCATTGCCGAGGCCAAGCGTGCTCCAAGGCGCACGAAGATGGCTCCAAGAAGGCGCAAGAGGGCCCCAAGAGACCTCCCGAGAGAGAGAGGCCAAAATCGCCGATGTTACGAAGGTGGTTGAAGGATGTTGGCTTTCTCGCATTTTCGGCCGTCCGACGCTCCAAGACGGCTCAAGAAGCTTCCAAGACCGCCCCAAGACAGCCCAAGAGGCTTCCAAGAGGGCCCCAACACGGCCCAAGAGGGCTCCAAGATATTCCAAAGAGCGCTCAAGACGGCCCAGGAGGGCCCCAAAAGCCCCAAGAGGGGCCCAAACAGGGGATCAAGAACCGAACATTTTATATGTGTGCCCCGAGAAGCCCCCAAGAGGCCGCCAAGAGGCCGCCAAGAGGCCTCTAAGAGGCCCCAAGAGGCACCAAAGACGCGCCAAAGAGGCCTCCAAAAGACTCCAAAGATACCCTACGAGGCCCCAGGAGGCCCCCAAGAGGCGCTCAAACCGCCTCCAAGAGGCCCCCGAGAGAATCCCCACGACACCCAAACACATACACAAGAAGCCGCAGACCCACAACCCAGGCACGGTGGCGGGATCGGCCGAAGGTAGCCAGGATGACGCCAACGTCTCGATTAGCTGATGATTCCGATCCGCCCCCGCATGACGTTCCCAGATGCGCCAAGGCAGCGCCGAGATGCACCGACGCGACTCTGATATACCCTATTATGATAGAGAGGGGGGCAGCGGCAAGGGGCGAAGCCCTTACGGATAATGTGGCTCATGTGCGTAGTTGCACCCGTGTGCCACAGCAGAGCGGCTGGAACTGTACTATGGCAAGTTTCTGACGTGCACCTCTGACGTTCACGGCTTCTCTCTCTCTCTCTCTTTGTTTCTCTCTCTTTCTCTCTCTCTCTCTCGATGTATATGTGCATATATAAGGTGTTGTGTTCTCTCTCTCACTCTCTCTCGTTCTGCTCCTTCAGCGTCTCGAAATACTGGGTGATCAGCAGCAGCTCCGAGACTTTTTCGGAGGAGAGCTGCTCGCTCGTACCCGAGGTGACTGACCTCCTCTGATGGGCCTGTTTCCCACCACCATTACCATAAGTTGGAGGGGGAGGTGGTCCTCCTCCTACTCCTCCTCCTTCTCCTCCTCTTCGTCCTCCTCCTCTTCGTCCTCCTCCTCCTCCTCCTTCCCCCCTCCAACTTATGGTGGTGGCTGTGGTGGAATACAGGCCCATCATCCTCAAACCATCCACGATGGCCTCGCGCTGCTTCGCGATGCCTTCGCCCTGCAGGCGGGCCGCTTCGCAATCGGCCTCCGCCTTCTTCACCACCCGGATCTTCTCGGCCTCGGAGGCCATCAGCGCCGCATCGCGCAGGCGCTTCTGCTTGTTGATCTCGTTCATCCGCCACCGCACCCTGTGCACGTTGGGGCGTGCTGGAGTCCTACACTGCTGTCTGGTAAGGCTTCTCTCATGTGTTCTACGGCCGACCGCATCCCCCGGTGCCCCTACCAACCACCAAAGGAATCCAGAACGTACCTGAAAGGCGCTCGAGATGCCCTCAGGAGGACCAAAAGAAAGTGTACTAGAGTCTTCGACTGAATCTCCTTCATGCTGCGCTGCTGCACTGGCGCGATGGCGGGGTGTGCCGCAGGCAGCTGGATAGAGTTCATCACGTCCTGGCTGGGCTTAAGCTCGGTGACGAGGGCCTTGATGATCTGGAAGCCGTACTCGTGCATGCTCTTCGTGAGGGTGTCACTGACAGCGGCGGATATCTTGTCCTTCTCCTCAAATGCCTCGTCCAATGTCATCCTGGGCACAGACGAGCGTACCACATCCGCTACATACGAGTCGATCTGCGCGCTGACGTTGGCAAGCTTGTAGATAGAAGACTCTGCTTGCTCTGGGATAACCTGTTGCTGAACGGACACTTTCACCATAACGAAGACGTTATCCTTCGTTTTGGTCTCGACGAACACCTCATTCTGCTCAACCCGCTTACTGATGGAGCGGAAGGTGATACAGCAGCCCATCACGTCGAATCCGACGAAGTTGAGGCCAGACCCGATCACCTCTCGCAGGCGCGCCGAGAAAAGAGAAACAGACAGGCGCAGGTCTTCCAAGAAGGCGGCGGCACTTCTCAGAAGCCCGCTGGTCTTCTGAGAAGCCCTCCGCGGCTCCGGGGCAGGCTCGGAAGGCTCCTCGGAGGGCCTTCGGAGCCTCTGGGAGGGCTCGCCCCCCTCTGCCCTGACCTCGCCATGGCTCGCACGTCCACTCCCGGGGTTCTTGTCTTCGGCCTCGCGCGTGGTGCTTCGCAGGATGCTCCAGGAGGCTCCTTAACCGTCCCCGCCGAGGAGAGAGTGCACACGTCCGAGCGATGGCAAGGGACCCTCCGAGCGCGCCGCGCCGAGCCTTGGTGAAGCTTCCGAAGTTCTCTACGGCGTAAATCTTGTCCTGCGGCACGGTCACGCAGCAGTTGCAGCAGGGGATGCACCCCGACTCCTGCCTCTGCTGTCCTGCCATGGCTTCGTCGGCCCCCCGGTGGTCAGGCCGGCGAGGGAGCTGCGGGTGAGCAGTCGCGATAGGCTGCTGGGCGTATGCCAACAACCTGCGCGGCAACGCTTGACCCCGCATGCCAACACCACCACTATCGTCGTCGCTGACCTACGCATGCAGCCGTGACCGTCAGTACCACGAGGTCGCCGTGTCATCACGGCCACGGCAATCAGCACATCGAGCATCATCACGCCTCACCCCCCGCGCTCGACCGTTTCTCTCTGGGCGCGTTTGCTACTGGCCCTGTTCTGAGGCACCCAAGGCGAATGATTACATACTTGAGCGTGAATACAAAATGGGACGTCACGATATGCGGCCCCGTCCCCAGAAAGTTTGGGAAGGGAGCCCCCCACAGGGAAATCAGTTTCGGTTTCGGGTTCGTGTCGTTCGGTCTCCTCATCCTTCTCCTCATGCTCCTTTTTCATTTCTCTGCTGATCCTCCTCTTCCTCCCCCACGTTCTCCCCGAAGAGCTTCCACAACGGCTGTGGAAACGCATGGTCCAATAGCGTGGCCAAACTTTGCCCAAACGTTGAGCCAAATAGGCGTATCCTTAAAAGACAGGGGGCGGCGATGATTCGCCGTAGGCGTCTCCGATCGATGGGGTGGACTAGGTGATGCAACGTGTGTGTATGTCTGTGGTGCAGCGAACGTTGTACAATAGATGTTGCGCGATCTATGTAATGCAGCCTAGATCGTGCCATCCGCAGTCACGCTGAGACTTGTTAAGCATAGGTGTTGGTATATCAATGTTGATCTTTTGGTGGAATATGTGTAATGTTTCTAAACGCCCCCTCTCGGCACTCGTCCCCGAAAATTCGTTCCCTATGGTTTTGCTCTCCGTCGCCCTGTTCGACCTCCCAGCGACTCCAAGAAAACCAAATGCTGTCCCAAAACAACTCAAGACTCAAGACCCTGCCCGACGAGCCCCCAACGGCTACAACATCTCTCCAGTATGCCCCATGATACCTCCATGGAATGCCAACAGGCCCCCCCGCCAAGGAAGGCAGCGAGTGCGGGCCTTCTCAGAAAGCTCAGAAGGCAGAAGGCCTCCGGCCCTCCGAGAAACGCTGGAACCTTCTGCGAAGCCCCGCCGCCTTCTGAGAACGCCTGCCCCGTTGTAGCCCTGACCTTCCAAAAATTCTACGAAACAGCCCTCCCGACTTCTAGACCTAATTACCACGAGGACTTAAAACGTCGCTTACAATCTTGATGTCAAAGGTCTGGGTGCTAAGTTGTAGCCCTCCTGGAAAAGACCTTGAAGTGAGAGGGGCAAGCTTTAGGCGCTTCTCAGACAGCCCTCAGGCCCGCTGAGAAGTCCCCGAAGCCGTTGCCGAAGACAGTGGAAACTTCTCAAGAGGCGCGCTGGCCTCTGAGAAGACCTGCCCCCCTCGCTTCACTCCCGGGCGCGACGCCGACTCGATCGTACCGAAAAATCTGCGCCGTGGTGGTCGTGGTCGTGATTATCGTCGCGGTCGCGGTCGTCACCGCAGTCGTCGTCGTCGTCGTGGTCGCCGCGGTCGTCGTTGTCGTCGTCGTCGTCAAAGTCGTGGTCGTCGTCGTCGCCGCCGTCGTCGTCGCCGCCGCCGCCGCCGCTGATGGCGGCGGTCGCGCGGGCGGCGGGCCGCGCCCGCGCCTCAAAACCGGCCTCGGCCGCCGCGTCCGGCGCGGCCCCCGCGTCGGCCGCCGGCCCGGCGGCACCTTGGCCCGGAAAGGGGCCCGAACCGACCGAACCGACAGCACCGACAGCAGCCTGGAAGGGCACAGCGACGCGGCAACGGCGCAGAGGACCGACGGAACCGAACTGATCGAGCCTGGGAGACGACGACGACGACGACGACGACGACGACGACGACGACGACGACGACGACGACGAGAGGGCGAAGACGCCCGTCTGGCGGCGGCGACGACGACGGGGCGAAGGCGCCCGCCCAGCGGCGGCGCCCTGGCGCCCTCGTGCTGCCCCGGGGGAGCGGCCGCGGGGGGCGCGCTCCAGGCAGGCTCGGACGGACTTTACTGCCCAAGGTGTGCCTCGAGAGGCTTTTCGAAGAGGGTGTCGTCCTAACATTATGCGTCGAAAGGCTTCTCGAAGGCTTTTCGAAAGGATTGCTCGAAAGGATTGCTTTGTCCGAAGAGGATTTCGACTTGTTCGAAAAGGAGTTCGAAAGGCGTTTCGAAAAGGATGTGCTTCGAAAGGCTTTTCGAAGGCTTTTCGAAAGGATTGTTCGAAAGGATTGTTCGAAAGGATTTTGCTTCCGGAAAGGATTTCTACTTTTTCGAAAAGGATCTCGAAAGGCGTTTCGAAAAGGAGTTGCTTCGAAAGGCTTTTCGAAGGCTTTTCGAAAGGATTTGTCGAAAGGATTGTTCGAAAGGATTTGTTCCGAAAAGGATTCGACTTTTTCGGAAAGGATTTCGAAGGGCTTTTCGAAAAGGATTTGCTTCGAAAGGCTATTCGAGATGGGACGCACGGAGACATACTAGAATTATTTGTCATCCTTGCGTGTCCGACCCGAACATGTAGTGTACCCATCTACTAAAAAAACGACCGCAACGGCACATGTACTATTATCAGATTTCTCGGTGCGCGCGTCTCCCCTGGTGGGGGGCGACGCACATGTAGTAGCAGTACGTTGGGCTGACGCCAACGAAAGGCTTTCTGAAAAATATGTCGTTAAGCCCAGAGAGTTTTCCAACTTTCTCACGCGGGTTCGACACGGAGGGTTTCGTAGTCTCCGGAAGGTGCAAGAGCACGGTTTTCGAAACGGACGGTGTTCGAAGCGCACGTTCCCAAGGGGGAATTTCGCAGTAGATTGTTTAGAGCGGCTTCGTACAAGTTGTCTAGCGTCCTTGTTTATTCCCACAGATCTTCCAGCTTCGGGGCGCTTTTGAGCGGCTGCGCCTGATCGAGACCGTTCCAGGAGTTCAAGAATCGCTCCGAACGGCCGCCAGAGGCTGAAAGCTGAGGCCGGAAAACCATCAGGGACCCACATTAGAGAGCAGGGAAACCACCCTCATAAGAAGCACTCCGAGAAGCGAAGCCTTTCCGCAACCGGGCCTGAGGAAGGCATCAAACAGGGCAGGGCTGCCTAGTAAACGCCGAGGTCCGTCTGGTAAACGCCAATTTTGGGTCTCGGGGTGGGGCGAGGTTGGAAGGCAGCTCCTTAAAAAGGCGCCAGCCTTACATATGTATATATATATATATATACACACATATATATAGAGAGATATATAGATGAGGCCCGCGCCTTCTAAGAAGCAGGGGTGCTTCCAACAAGCCTTCCCCTCTCCCCCTCACCCCCCTCTGCGCGTGGCTGAGCTTTCCCCACCTTGACACATTTCAGATAGTATGAGCTCAATAACTCCAGACCCTTATCGGGGATCTTCTGACCCGGGTCGGTCCAGACCCGGGTCAGTCAGGATCGTGCAGGAAGGATCCTGCGCCCAAGCCCGGGCTAGTGCGAAGGATCCTGCAAAATCTTGCCGGCTCCTGCACCCAAGCCTGGGCCAATGCGACCCTGGCCTTGCAGGACCCGGCAAGATCGGGGGCTCTGGCCGACCCCCGTTTGCACTGACCCCCGTCTCGAGGCCCCCGACACTTCTCCTCGAGTTATGCTGCTCCCATCGCACATAAGGGCCACCCGCATCCCAGAAATCATTTTGAGCACCCAGAACAGTATCGAAACAGTGTCGAACGAGTATCGCCTTATAGGGCCCGACGCGTGAAAACCCTCAAGTTTCGATACTTTCCTGGTGCTCAAAATTATTCCTGGTGAGCAAGGCTATAGCAGGCTGGAGCATCATAATGCTCGGCCTCGGCCTCCACGGGGCCCGCTCGCGGGCCACCAAAAAGACCATCAAAGAGCGGGCCTGGAGCTTGGTCGGGCATGTCCCCCTACAGGCGGATTTGGGACCTTGGACGCAAAATTGAGAATAGTAAAAGAAGAGCCCAAACATGATACAAAATAGTCAGGTTGACTATGTTTTTATCGTTTTGGCTACTTCCTGATCATGACGACGGCCTCAGGCTATTCTTTGACAATTTTTGAGTTTTCCCCCTGTGGAGGGACAGGCCCGACTTAAGGCCTGGAGCGAAAGAAGCTGGCCGCCTCTGGGGGAAGGGGCGGGGCGGCCGCGCACCGGCACGAGCCGACAGAGCAGAGGCCAGTCCACAGGAAGCCTTCCACCAGACACCCACGGGCCTACCCTGCTCCTCCTCCTCATCCTCCTCCTCCTCCCTTCGTCTCCCGTCGTCTCCCTCCTCTTCCTCCTCCTCCTCCACCTCCCTTCTTCTCCCTTCTTCTCCCTCCTCCTCCTCCTCCTCCTCCTCCTCCTCCTCCTCCTCCTCCTCCTCCTCCTCCTCCTCCTCGCCCTCCAACCCCGAGACCCCAGGGCGTCCAGCGATGTCTGGCGTGGGAGCGTCGCGCTCTCCGCAGGGCGAGCTCTGAAACACGGAGGGGCGCCATGGGATCTGGGGAGAGTTCGTGGCCCCCGCCATGATGTCCATCGCCCCCCCTACAGCGGGGGCCCGACCACAAGAAGCCTTCCACGAGACACCCGACCCCGAGACCCCAGGACGTCCAGCGACTTCTTGTGTGGGAGCGTCGCGCTCTCCTCCAGCAGGACCATCGACACCCGAGAAACCCAGGACACCCTGGAGGCAAGCAGGGCGTTTCTCTTGGCTTATGATGCTCCAGCCTGCTATAGCCTTGACCACCAAAAATAATTACATGCCCGACTTAACTCCGGGGGTCCACAATTTTTGAAGGACCTCTTTGTCGGGGGCGGCCAAGGGGGGGGGGCGTCCAAGAGGGGGGGGCGCAGATCATGGCCGGCGTCGTGCGCGCGGCCCCGGGGGGGGGGGCGGGGACGCATTGAGATAAGGAGAGGCGCCATGAAGTTCTGGCGAGATATCGTGGCCTGGGCCATGATATCCCCACCCCTACAGTGGGGGCCCGACCACAAGAGACCTTCCACAAGAAACCCATCCCTGAGACCCCAGGACGTCCATCGACTTTTGGTGTGGGAGCGTCACGCTCCCCATACCCAACCCATGGAAACCCCGGAAGCCCAGGGCACCCTGGAGGCAAGCAGGGTGCTTCTTGGGATGGGCCCCCACTGTAGTCTTAAGTCGGGCCTGTCCCCTACAGGGCGATTTTGGGCGAAAAATAAAAATAAAAAAAAAATACTTCC